CAACAACCGAGGCGCCCGCCGTTATGCTCAATCCTGCTGGCAGTCAGGCCCTCAATGAGGTTAATCAACAGGACTTCAAAAATCTCTCCAAATGCCTGATGGGGTATGCCACTGTCGGCGGAAAACTGCCCACAGGTGAGCAACGCTCGATCTCGTTGGCAGTGTACGCCGGCAATGTCTTTTCTCTGCATTCGTGTGTCTTTATGTGCCTGGCAGACGACAGGCGGGAATAGGGCAGCGTCTGGATGCAAAGTTGGCTAAGCTATGCCTACCGGATCAGGCTGTTGTAGTCCAGAGGCTCGAATTTGGACGACTGTTCGGGAACAAATACTGCCTACTTAAATGAAACGTAGTAGCGAGATATCACAGGCGGAAAAATGCCTTTGACGCTTTCGACTTTTAAATAGCGCCGAAGACAGTCAACATTCGTTTTTAAATTTTGTACGGTCCACTAAGCGTGCTCCTTTCTCACACTTATAGTGTTTTAATCCCATCCTACGTCTAGTAGAAGTTGCTTGCTCCAAAAATTTTTGCTTAATGTGCTGCTTGAGTGGATGTTATCATCACGTAAATTCTGAAGCGAGATTAGTGATGGAGAAATGTGAAAGACTGAACATAGTTTGTGGTCGTGTCTACTACCACCGTCTGTCCCTGTCTTCGACTGCTTGCATAAGGCACAGTATGCTGCACCTGACGTGCCGCCATAACGGACTGCGCTATTGGCGCACTGGATCACGCCGGCCCACAGCTCGAGTTTACCAGGTTGTGCTGAGTGCGCTCTAGGCAACAACTGCAGCTGTGCATGCGTGTCGCACACGTCAGGCGGAAGCATTCACACCACACCAACCACTGTGCCCGATCCCATCACCCGTCGGTTGACAGGCTCGACAGTTGACTGGTGCACGACAGCGACTCTCGGAAATCATTCCCCGCGGCATATCAGCGCATTCCTCATTGCAATAAACCTGACGCACTTGTGTCCATCAGGGCTTGAAAGACTGTCAATTGACGTGGTAACTACGCTCTTTCAGGACCGCGAGTCCAGGTGAGATTCAGCTCCCTCATAATGTAGGCTTATACATACAGGGCGGAAATGAGGTCGTATTTGGCTGTGCCAGTACCCTCGGTCGTCTTTACTCTTGTCTTACCACCGGAAGCAGGTGAGAGTGGCAGGAGTGAGTGGGGTGGGTGCGTCACAAGTCCGCTCTAATGTAGACAAATTCATGCTGACGTCTTTGCTGCTGGGCACACCTGGTGGAGCAGCTGTGAATGTCTCTTGGGATGGTCGGACTATCATGCGCTGTATCTTTGTCTGGAGGATCGGGGGTCCCTGATTCCAAAGACGATGTTTCTGGCGTCCATATCCGTTATTCCAATTGTTCACTTAAAGAAGTATTTTAGTTACAAGGATTCATCCTGCCTAAAAACCGTCCTTTCTGTCCTCCACATGTTGATAGATCCCCACTTCTGCAATCGTTTTCAGTTTGGTCCGGTTTGCGCGCACGACTAAAGGGTCAGGGTTTTTAGCTCGTAGAAGAGTGCAGAACCAAGCCCATTGAAGGTGCATGTTTCGTCTGCGTCAAATTTTGTGGAAACTGTTCCTAAAATCTCAACCTTCTTACGTGCAAGGTCACAGTAAAATGGTATTCACCGACCTGAATTGGTTTCGGGACAATATACAGACGCCCCGTTCTGCGTTGGAGCGTTGCGCTGCTAGGTGGCCAATAAATGAATTACACCGACAATGTTAGTGGGGGGCGAGATGGCGGTTTTCATCTTACCTGTCGTCTTCGGCCTGCCATACTCTCACTTATGACCTGGTTGATCTGGAATTTTAATTAGGGTTCGCTCGATTTAATACTGAATAGCATTGCCGACAGAAACAAGCGGGACTGGGATGACCATTTCTGGCTTATTCACCGTCGCCAGCCAACCATACCCAACCACGAGGTGTGGAACACCTGGGGCTCGATCTCGCAACCTGTTGGTTAGAAGTCCAGCGATCCAGGTGTTCTACACCTCGGGGTTGGGTCTCACTAGCTGACGACGGCTAATAAGCCAGAAATGGGCATTCCAGTCTCCCTTGTCTTTTTCGGCAATGCTATTCAGCCTATATCACGCGCCGCTATGTGGCCGCTGGCGGGGCTTGAAAGAGCCCCAAGGCACAACGGGATGAGTGAGTTCCGTAGCGCGATCGGTGCTCACCCCTCTACCAGACCCAATACTGCTGGATGCTGGGTCATGCTCCCGATCTCAGCTGTCTTGTTTTGGGCCTGTGTTTCACTGGTAGCGTATTCTGTCTCCAAAATATACTGATCTAGGCTCCTATTCAATGCCCTATCGGGTTTGGTTTGGGACCTAGCTGGTCACCGATGCCAGCCTAACCAAAATGATCACTGCGGTTGCTCACTCTCGGTAGACCCTTCTATCCAGTCTGTGTTCTGAATAGGCCGTGCAGGTGCTTGACTTTTCCGTAGACCAAATGATGGGCGCCAATCGTACAAGCGATGGACGTAAAATGCAACTCAGGCTCGACAGCCAGTGTTTTCTTTCTGCTAGCCACTTCCAACATCTCGCCTATATAGTCTCCCCCTGCTTACTTTGACAGAAACGGATCTCTCCTCACTGACCGCGCTGATGATCCAATCAAAACTCCTCAATGGACCCAACAACGCCACCCATCAGGTGCCGCCAGCTGGGTCCTCTCTCATCAACCCCGCTCCCGGCGGCCTGACGCCGCAAAACGCCGCGGCGGCAGCTGCTGCGGCGGCCGCCGCCGCTGGCCTAATGCCCACCTTCCTGCCGCCGGCGCCGACCAGCTATCGTGGCAGCATCACCACGGGCCAGTCGGCGCAGCAGATCCACCTGCAGCAGCTCGCTCAGGCGCAGCAGCAACAGCAGCAGCGGCATGCCGGTGACGCCGCCGCCGCTGCCGCTGCGGCCGCCGCTCTGGTGGAGGCGTACGCCGCACAACAACAGCAGCAGCAGCACTCCAACCTCGGGGGCCCTGCTCGGTGAGGGGCCACCTCCTCGTCTGCAAGACCGGGGGGTTTGCCACCTAATATGGCCTTTTATCTCTTCATCTTTTCTGTTTTAAAAAAGAGAGAAAGATCCCGTCAACACTCACCGCGGTTTCCTTCTCTGTGTTGTCATTACTATTTTGATTGTTATTGCTCGATGGAGGTGAAGACCTCCACTCTTGTAAAAAAGGCGTCTTTTAAACAAAACTGCACCCCTCTTTTAACCTCTCTACCCTGCCCTCACTTGGGTGAGGATACGTGCGTCAACGTAGGGCAGTGGAGAGTCGGCATAATGGCGTCATCATTGCAGTCGGTGGGTTAAACTGTCTAGAAGTGGGATCAGAGACCTCGCAAACGACCGGACAGGGATACATGTCTGGGCGTTTAGGTTTTATTCGGGCTGACAGTGTGCTGTGCACATCTAGGGGCGGCTTTGGCCGCCCCAACCACCTGTGTCCTCTTCCACCTCCGGTCTTCTTGGTCATAACACCGGGCTCAGATGGGGGAGATGGAGGAAGTGAGGTAAATGCTGTGCAAGCCTGTTGCGGCACGGCCGTGAGAATGTGTGTGTAGTGTGTGAGTTACAATTATCAATGCAAATCCTAAATTGGAGGGAAAAGACGAAAGGCACCAGAATGAGGGGTTTATTGTGCACGGAACCCGGGGTTGTCCTCTCAGACAGCAGTGGCCACTGGCGAAGCCAGGGCTGGCGTTGACTGCGTCCAGTCATGCCTGGGGATACTGGTGGCAGCCGCTTTTGTAGGCTCGTGGGCCAAGCTCAAGTGGTGGCCAGTCAGAATGTGTTGCATTTGCCGATGGATGGTGTCCCAGTGGCTTAGGTTGTGCTTTCAGGGGGTGGGGTGCGGTTGAGTGGCCGCATAGGCGGCTGTGCGGACGCAGGTATGCCCGAGCTGCCGGTCGTGTGACTTCTGGTCAGCGCGTCTGGAACGGCTCACTGCAAAAGGGTGGATGACCTTGGGGCAGCGAGGTCTTGAACAATGACGTCAGGCTGGTCATGATGGCTGGCCGCCGCAAGCCTACCGCTACTGTAAAATAAATCACGCGGAAGTCGCCGCCCCTACTCTCAATCTGCCGTGGAGCTTACCGTGGACATCGTCGAAATCGACGACGGAATCGCCGTTGTTATGCAGACACTACTGGCTACCTGTTGGCAACTTGTGAATATCGCGCTGGTGGATTTAAGCTCAAATATTCTTACAAACTTTCGGGTCGAGGATAAGGAGCCTTGATCAGAGCGTCTTTCTCGAAGTTCGCCCATCAATTTCCGAGGAAATGAAGAAAGGCAGCATTCAGAGACTGGAATGTATGGCAGGAAGCACACAAATTTCGACTAGCCAAACCCCTGCCGATGCGCCATGCAATGGCAGGAAGTCAGTGAAATGCGTGTCTACGCATTTAGCTAGTACGAGTGCTGTCTGTATAGTTGGCAACTCTGTTTCGTTGCTTCCAGGAATGTTCGCAGATGTTTGACTGCAGTCTTAAGTGCACTGTAGTCGACATATTTCAAGCTCCATCCCTGACCAGGAGAATGCACCCCCTGGGATTGATGGCTATCAACTAGAAGAGGTAGACAGTTTTAAATACCTCGGGGCAAGGCTGCTGCCGAATGGGCAGAGTAAGGATGACATTGTCTTCCGAATTGATGCTGCCCAACGGGTTTCTGAGGACTTAAAAAATGCCCATGGATCCGACGTCACATATCCATCACCACTAGGATTCGCGTGTACCGTGTATCTGTTCGGTTTGTCCTTATCTATAGCTTTAAATGCTGGACTGTGCGCGTGGAGGATGAGCGAAAACTGGAGGTATTTGACCTCCACCGCTTGAGGATCATCCTTCAAATGAAGCGCACCGACTTCGTCTGAAATGTGACCACAACACCGCAAGGATAACCCAGGCCATCCAAGGTGGTTTGGACATGTTCTTCGCCTTCCGCCTCAGGAGCTCAGTGTTACTGTCCTTGATTCGGCACCGTTAACCTATTGGAGGCTTCGAAGAGGGGTCCAACTCGAAACCTGGCTCGACACAGTCTGTCAGGACATGGAGGTGGTTCTTAGACCTTCGGTTCACGGTCTTCGTCGTTGGCGAAGAGAATAGGTTGAACTACCCGGATCTGCTGCCGCGGATCGCCACGCGTACAGAGGTAAAGTTCGAGGCATCACAGAGGTCGGCTAGATTAGATATGATCGCAGCCGTATCAAGTACAAGTCCCAAGTGTATTCGGCTACTGGGCATGCAGGGCCCAGAAGTTCGGCTTCTAGGGAGGGTATCGGCTCGTCTTGTTCCCGATCACCAAGAGAGGTTGGAAGACAATCATCTTCAATAAACTGTGTAACCCTTTAGTGTCGCCGTCCATCTAGCACGTCCCAAATTCCTAGGATTTATATCCTAGAGTTCGTTGCAATCCTGCCCGACTGGACGTGCGGTATGACGTTGCAGATCTCTGGGGTTAGGGTCGCCAAGATAGCGAGCATTCTCAGTAAGTTGAGCCAGCTCATGGGGAATCAAGTCAGTGGGGGGTTTTGCGGTTTGCTGCAAGTAACCACGAATACCGGCACAACCTGCGGTATCTGTACTAGATTTTGAAGCGTGATTGTCACTGGTCACAACGTGATCCAATAGGAGGCGGGAAAGCGAACTGCGCGATAACGAATCGCTTGATGACACCGGGCCCCCGGGAGTGTTAAATACTGGTCAGGACGCCAGAGCGTTACCTTCAGTCCTGTATTTAGTGGGCCATACGAAAAGGTCTAGACAACGCTCTTATCTCATTTCTAACGTGACCTGGGCTGCGCGCTGATTGGCAATTACAGTCGACTGACGTTGGATGGCTCTCCGGACAATATGGTGCGTGTTTCCCTCCAACTGTGGGGGGGGGGAGACTTTGGAAACAAACCCGGGCCACTGTTGCCCGCCCATGGCGGTCCCGTCATCCTCGCCAACTTATATCTTACACTTTAGCGATGCGGCGCTGGTCGCATTTGCGGATGGAGGGCATAGGGAGTGGATTTCTCAAATGCGATGAGCTCCCGCTGGCCTGCTCGGACCGCGGTGCAGTTAGTTGTCGGCCATACCCTACGCCGACCAATGTGAGGGTCGGGTTGAATGATGACGTCTATCTCTCAACTAATAGCACTGACTGCCGCCGACAGGAAAACCTACCAGTGGGCAACTTGTCGCAGCCAACCCACCAGTTCTCGACCCCTGAACCTTCGCCTATGGCCGCCACCAGTACCGGGCGCCGCAATGAATGACAGTTCAGGAAACCGACAGGCTGCTGGCCATCAGTCAATTAGGTAAACGCGGCAGGGCCCACACAAGGCGCTAGCTCATTGGCAGCAGACAGCGAGGTCCTGCTCTCTACTGTCACCCAAAATCCGAGCTCGAATAGCAAACTAGAGACGACTGGGTCCCCTAAGTTAGCGTTAATTAAGGGTTTCTTCTTAGCTGACACGGCTGCCAAGGAGTCCGTAGCAAACTTTCGATTGTCGCAACGACCCCTGCATACCGGGCATGCTGTGTACTAGTCTTATGCGGTTGCTGCAACAAATGCACACACCTGGGGACATCGGGTGGGAGAGAATCGATCAGGCAAGAGACACCAAGGGAGAGGACAGACTGTGCCTTTATTAATGCAAGGCTGCAATTATTACAACATATAAAATATATATCTATATAGTTCATCTTGATGGAAATGGTGGGAGATAGGAGAGGATGAGGGGATGGGGGTGGAGTGGAGGGAGACCGGAATAAAGTAAACTCTTGGGTGAGTGTGAGCGAGATCGGGGATGACGTCAGTGGGCGATGATGATTTGTACTCGACTTCGGCAACAGAAGCTTCGGTCGGCGTAGCCAACAAACCCGCATATACACACACACACACAGTCCTTTGGAATAGTGTCCGTGTATGCACAACAGGAGTATGGGGGAATGAAAAGTAGAGAAAAATAGTCAGTCCGCAATGCAGACGGCCGCCGCGCAGTCAACGACCCAATCACTCTGCTGCGGACAGACAACAAATAAAGGTAAGTTATTGCATTCGCGCACAACAGAGGTGGAGATGACTACTCAGGCGCGACCGGTTCGTTGGGCAGGTCGAAGAAGACGGGGCACCTGACGGCGGTGCGGACCTCGGGCGAGGCGGGCGCGTCGAGGCTGTAGCGGTAGACAGCTGAGCTGATGGGACCCACAGCAGGCTTGCAGAGTGAATTGTTCTCCAACAGGTCTTGCAGGTGGGCCGCGTAGCCGCCACGGATGGCCTAACAAGGAAAATACCGGCTGATATGAGACGGGGGTAGAGCATGCACGTCATGTACTCCAAGGGTCGCTCTAGCTATTTTCGGAGCAGGTTTACGAAAACAAATATGGCCAGCTTGCATTCATGACCGGTAGGGGTGTTGCAGATGGGGAGAGTCTTCACTAGCTGGGCCGAGATCACTGAACCGCAGCTTGGGTGTCCGATCTCGGCATCCCCGACATATGCTCCCAAGTCTATCCAAATTCCTAGTATCTGCGTCTAGCAACAAGTGAGTAAAATGTAACCCAGGGCTCATACGTTCGGGGGCCACTAATATAGTAGATGGGCTAACTCATTAAATGTCAACCGAAATTCCGAAATGCGTTTTCGTTTCACAAAGATTAATTAAGTAGGGTTGTAAAACTAATCACCTAGCAACATAATTCTATAATATTTCAGTTACCTCAGGATGCCGGCTTTCGAATGAACTCCCTTCCGACTGCATGCAAAAACTACACTCTGTAGAAAATGACTATTTAAATAGCATGCGTTTTCCTCATTGGTTTTCGATACCCCTAAAAGTCCAATTATATTTCATGGAAAATATGCATAAAAATATTCATTCTTTTGCTCATTCGGTAGACAATTACGTCTTTTTTCAACTCCATACTCAAAGAGAGGGTAAAATTCGGCTTTCCAAAATTTTTCCAATTCCCGAATAATTTTGAACCCGCTCTACC